CCACGTGAATGGAGAGCAAAAAAAACCGGCAGCTCAAATTCGAAAGCCCGCGCAGAAGAAGGACTCTCCGGTTAGTAGAAAGTTCAGAGAGAAAAAAGAAGATTGATACTTCGTTAAACTTCCCCCTGCTCCCCTTGTCCTATCCCACAAACTCTCACCGAAAGGATGGTCTTATCTCGCATATATTTTCTTCCAATTAGCAACAATTTTTCCCCTTAAAATCCATCAAGTCGCATTCAAACTTATATAATTTCGGAAAATGTCCAAAAATTTTCCTGTGTGATTTTTAAATATTTTCCACCTTCTGACATCGCCAACAAGCCGAGCTACCATTTCTGCATTAATATATACAGCAGTGATTATGCTACTATAAAAAAACGAGTAGCACTTTTTAACTGGACGAGGAATGACCAAATGACGGCTGCCGCCTTTTAGTCTGCAATTATTTAAATCCTGCGCTTGTTACTTTTGTTGTTGTAACGATATATTTCTTAAACAGTGAATGACCAATAAAGAGTTCAAAGGCGTTTGCCTATATTTCCCTTCGAAAAAACTGAACTGAACTGAATTCTGCAACTCCTATAATTTTGACCGGTGTGCGGGTTGGCTAATCCGCGTTTTGGTCACCCGGTTGATCTCCGGTGACTTTTGGGCATGGCCTTCCGCAAGGCTAGTGGCTTGGGTTCCGTTTTTAAGTATTTTCGATCTCCAATAGCTCTAAATGACCTTTTCATTGACCGGCGCATCCTCAGTCAGCTAAATTTAAAACCGGTCAAAAGCATCGAGTTTACATTCAATCCATTCTTTTCACGGACATTCTCTATCAGGTAAATATGAGCTCCACCTATGGGAACTTATATGTACTTGATTAGAAATGTGTGCTCTCTCCTTAACTCCCCACGCTGGAGGGCATCTAATGAAAATTGCTTGATGAAGGTTAATGTGCGGAGTGACATTACAGAACCACAAATTCAAGTGCACTTCAGTAAGTTTTTGTTAATAACCAGAGAACCCTCACAGGTGCGGGAGATATATTGCTCATCAAGACGGAAAATTTGACCGACCGCGAAGCTCTGGAAATACTGATAACGCAGTGTAAAGAACGGCTGCTACCGTGAACTAATTGCTACCATCATAAATAAACGTTAACGCGAATTTCGTTTTTTTAACTTTTATATCTTTCACACTTTCGGTCAGTTTTTCATCAGTGGTATTTTAGGCCGAAAATATGTCGGATGAATCAGATTCTGAAAGTGTTTCCAGCATGAGTGATGTTGAATTCGACGAAGGCTACTCTGGGACTTATATCTGCCTTTTGTGTGAAACTGTCAACAAATCGGCGGACAATTTATTTGAGCATCTACAGACCCAACATGATTGGAAAATTTTGCCAGAAATTGACAGGTTCAAAGATCAATATTCTTGGATTACATTCGTCAATTGGGCCCGATCGAAGGTATTTCGGCACCATCTCCCGTTTTCCTTATTTTACGTCTAGTCTAAGACTCGAACTGTCTTGCGTTTTTTGAATTAATTCCTGAAACCTACTTAGGTTTAATTTATGCCTCTATGTTAAATGTTATATGAAACTTTGTGTCCCAAGTCTTGTATTTCGAATTTAAGAAACCGCGATGCTGGAGCGAATTCTTTGACCTGTCCGAAGATGATAGGCAAGCATTTCTCAAGCCAACACTGTCGGAAGACGACGTTCTAACTATCGGTGAGTGCCTTCGGTTTTTCAAAAGGCTAGTGCATCGCATTCATTTTTCGAATTACATTTCCCATGGTACACAATTTGCCATAGCTTGATGCAGCGTGTAATCAGGTGTGTAGTATTAAGTCGCGGCAACCGTTTCATATGAACATAAGCAAGCTGACCCACAACGTAGTGTCTTTATATCTGTCTTGGAGGCAAACAATGTTTTGGTGAAGTTTAACCGTATGAAGTGGAGGGCCACCATGGGGAAGGCATGTGGGAATGCAGATTCCCTCAACCACTACAGCCAACCACATCCTTAGTCGGTTTGATGCAGGAAGCTTTGGGTTTTTGAGTAAAGTAAAAAATATCGACTCACCTCGGGTTCACGGTTTAGGTCATTACTATAACCAACCAATCACTATTTTACGTAATCATGACGCAGAGGCTTGGAAGTTTCCTGACTTACGGGACAACTCGATTACCCTCAGGGTTGACGATTTCTTAGTGTAGCCTTTATGACACTCCAAAATGTGCGGTGAGTGTGTTCTGTTCTAGGAGTGATAATGCACTGCATTCGTTTACCGAATTGCGTATACCATACTCTACATTTTATCACAGTTTTATGTAACTTGCAATCTGTGTTTGCATGTCCCCCATGCCCTCAAAGCCGTGATTTGAAAAATTATCAGTTGACTGGTTAACTTACTTCTCTGATCGTAGGCTGCAACACAGCACCAATACGATCCACGTATAAACGAAGTGCGTTTATTGCGACGAGAGGTTTTAGGCCGCATGTAACCTGCAGCACCCAAAAATGGAACAGAATAGATGAAGTGAACGAAGGCGTCCTTCGGTGTAATCTTCTCGCTCTCAAGTTACTCCTTCCTCCACGTTGATCGTTTATAACGAAGGGGCTCTTGTCATCTAAAAAAGATTATTAGTTCGTAAGACACCCTTCCTGTCCAACTTACTTGAAATTTTGCATTGGGCGACGCGCTTCTTCCGTGTAGACCAAATAACCTCATAGCCATTTTGTTTAACAAGCCTATATTTTCGTTATGCGACTGAATTGAACAATTAATCTTTCTTTTAGATGTGGAGTCTCTGGCCAATCGTCACGACAGTGAGAACAACGAGTTGGTTGACATGGAGACTGCCTCTTCCAAGAAAACCTTGGAGCAATTACGGGAAGAGAATATCGACCTGATCTGTCAACTAAATAAGTGCAGGTACTTTCTGACCAGCTTTGCTTCTTACTGTTTGCTTTCACCTTAGAAAACTTTTAGTCGAAACTATTGACGGCCCATCCTCCTTTGACTACGGTGCTGGAGATCATGCTGGTTCTTTCCAAATAGACCTCAATGGAGATAACAGTGTTCAGTTGCACCCATTCATACCCCCTTATGGTGGACTTCCGACGGCCCTACTCGCGCTCCGTAAGTCATACATTTTCCACGTCTCGTTAAAGCTTTGTGCAACACCGATTTCTTTTCTCACGATGTGTAGAACTAACAATTCTTGTTCAGCTCAAGGTTAGAATTGCTACTTGTCGCGGGAAGGGAACATACAAATTGTCATGCAGGGATAATGTATAGGTGTATAAATAAAATAAAAAACGTTGTATCTGAAAGTATAAGCTCCGCGGTCATGTTTACTCTAACCATTTGAAAACAAAATGCAAAAACGAGGCCTTAACACATGACCCCACTGTTAAGTTGCAGCTTGTCGTTCCTTGTTGTTGTTGTTGTAGAGGTACCTTGATGATTAAAATCACAAAAACGACCTCAGTCCACAGTCTTCCGAGCAGCCCTCGAAAACAGTCACGCTAACCAGAGGCTGCAGGACGGCAGGAGGTGGTTGATGTAGGCTTCTAACATCTGCAGTCGAACACGTTCTGCGGTCAGGGCCCGATTTCATGGAAAGTAACTAATCGCCGATCTTGTCTTCAGACCCGCACATCACGTGGTCTATCCGAGTAGACGAGTAAGAAGGGTACAAATAATTGATTTTGTCTCCAACCGACGATATGGTTGTCCATCGAGGACTTCATTTAAGAGCAGAATCTATCGGAGCAAGGTGCTGCTCAGGGCTCTCTCTCTAAGTCAATTCACGCGTCCATCACCGCTCCTTGGCGTGTCTTGTAGGCCGGCGGCAGGCGTCTTCGCTTGCGGCTGCCAAACTGTCCCCTGTTGCACCTAAACGTAATTGTGAATCTCAAAGTGATTACATTCGCACGATGGAGTGGAATCGACAAAGACCAGGGAGACCGGAATGGACATTTGTGGATTATTTGCCGTCAATAGCCAGTCCAACGCAGTCCCACGTATGGATCACCAGAGTTTCGAGCCCGCGACCCTTTGGTCATGGAGTGTAACCCTACCATTAAGCTGCGGGTCCGTTATTTTTTGTCGGTTACTGTTATAAACGTGTTGCCAAACGCCGAAATATCACCGTCTAGTTACGCCCCGTGTGAGTCCTCAAGGAACATAAAAGGAAGAGCGCAAAATTAGAAGTTTTGTTGCATATTTAATACAATGTACTTATGGCAAGCAAAACATACAGACTGGGCCAACCAGATTGTGGCCTCAAGAGAGGGATATAATATTCCGAGTGGTTTTCAGGTTGAAAAGAGTGATAAGGCAAAACACCAATCACGGTTTGCAGCTTGATCGATCTC